GTGAAACCCTGTCTCCACAAAAAATACAAAAAAATTAGCTGGGCCGGGTGCGGTGGCTCACACCTACAATCCCAGCACTTTGAGAGGCCAAGGTGGGTGGATCATGAGGTCAGGAGTTCGAGACCATCCTGACCAACATGATGAAACCCCGTCTCTACTTAAAAAAAAAAAAAAATACAAAACAGCCAGGCCTGGTGGCTTGCACCTGTAATCCCCGCTACTCAGGAGGCTGAGACAGGAGAACCGCTTGAACGCGGGAGGTGGAGGTTGCAGGAGCCGAGATCATGCCATTGCACTCCAGCCTGGGCAACAGAGTGACACTCCATCTCAAAAAGAAAAAAATTAGCTGGGCGTGGTGGTGTGTGCCTGTAATCCCAGCTACTCAGGAGGCTGAGGGCAGGAGAATCACTTGAACCAGGGAGTCAGAGGTTGCAGTGAGCCGAGGTGGCGCCACTGCACTCCAGCCTGGCAAGAGAGCAATACTCTGTCTCAAAAGACAAACAAACAAAAATCATAGAATAAACTACACAGATCGTAAGTGCTCAGTTCAGTGAAGTGGTGAGGATATGGGGCAACTGGAACTCACTGCTAAAATTAAGTAATACATGCATCCTGTGACCCAGCATTTTCACTCCTAGGTATTTCACTCCTAGGTATTCATATTTCACAATATGAAGCATGTGTTTACAAAAAGACTTGTACAAGAATATGTATTCGTAATAGCAAAAAAAACTAGAAACAACCCAAATGTCCATCAATAAGAGAATGGGTAAGTCAATTGTCGTGTATTCATAATGGAATAATAAGCAGTAAAACATAAAATTACCATTACATTTAGAAGAATCTCAAAAACATATTAAGTGAAAGAAGGCAGACATAAGAGAGTTCATACTGTATTCATTTCATTTATAAGAAGTCCAGAGGGCACGGCGGCTCACACCTGTAATCCCAGCAATTTGGGAGGCCAAGGTGGGCAGATTGCTTGAGCTCAGGAGTTCAAGATCAGTCTGGGCCATGTGGCAAGACCCCATCTCTAAAAAAATACAAAAATTACCCAGTCACGGTGGCATGCACCTGTGGTCCCATCATTTGGGAAGCTGAGATAGGAGGATCACTCTTGAGCCCAGGTTGAGGCTATAGTAAGCTGTGATTGCACCACTGCACTCCAGCCTGGGAGGCAGAGTGAGATCCTGTCTCAAAAACTTTTTTTCAAATTCATGTATATGAAGTCCAAGAACAGATAAGACTAATACATACTGATAGAGCACAGAAAGTGGGTTTGTATTAGTTTTCTATTGCTGTTGTAACAAATTACCACAAACTTAGTGGCTTAACATGCATTTTCAACCTGAGAAGGCTGATTAGTAAAAGATTTTTTTAAAAAACACCAATTCATTGCCTTAGTTCTGTGGGTC